ACGTTGGAAAACTCGTTAGGCGCTACTTAGTGCCGCCTAGCACCTAGGCGCTGATTAATGGGACGACTAGGCTGATATTTAGACAATGTGTATGAATGGGTATGATTAATTTTCTTTCCTAGTTTGACAGTGAAGAAATAGGCAAGAAACTTTATCATATATATTCGTACACATTGTGTAAAAATGGATTGACTGTATTTAGCTTTTAGTTAGTGACAGTGTATGGAGTACTTTAGTTTTTTGTTTTTGTTTTACATCATTTAGCCTGTAAATTCACTTTTTTGCAAGACATGACCTGGTTATGGTTATTAAGTTGGTTTCTTTAGGACTGTATTTGGTACTATTTGGGTTATTTAACTCTTCTATTGGTGGTTAAGTCAAACTACTATATTGTATTTACTATTTAGGTCATATATATAATTCTTAGTTTTAATGTATCATGGCAGCATCATAAATGTGCCATGGTCATCGCCAATAATTTGTCCCTCCACTATGATGGTCACTGTGCGCCATGACATCTTTGATCCCATTTTTAAAATGGATGCATTTCCCTAACTCTTGGGCAAAAGGTTTGAATGTTGTAAAAAAAAGAATGCGCCCCAGCCATGATGTCTCCTAGGACTGACATGCCAGTTTAGCTGGGAGTCCGTAAATTGGGCTCTGATTAGATTATGGAAAGTGTGGGGTCTCGTGAGACCCCAACTAGAGCTTGGTTGCTAGTGTCACCTAGCATAGCAGTTACCATTGGATGCTGGTCTTATTGCATACTAATACTACGTTGTGTTTGAGACAAAATTTGGCGCATGCTGTTTTCTTATTTCTAGCCTGGCAGGAGTTTGACCAAGTGAGTCAATGTTTTTCCATTTAACAAAAGGAATGACGTTTAGCTGAGAATGTTGAATATAGTTTTTGATACTTGCTGAGACTCCATGCTAAGCATGGTTGTCACTCTAGATGTGCGTCTGATGTTAATTTTTTCATTGATTTTTAGGTGCATGTTGACAGAAATTTTCTACTGTCTAATAGTAGAGTCCACCAGATATTTGAAGAAGAAAGATCCAAGTTTGAAAATGCAAGACAAGCTTCTGCTGACAACATAGGAATAAAAGAGAATGATGCAGATGATCAGAATGAGTATTTGATGGTATGGTTCTGAGTATTAAGATTTATTGTTGCAATTATTTCTTGTATATGTTAATCATTGTTAGTCAATGATGATCATGACTCATGGGCGTGTCATACAGCCAACTGCCAAGCAATGTTGTGTCTCCTCTTAAGCACTCATACCTCTATATATTTGAAGCACACTTTCGCAAAAACGTTTGCAGGTTACTATCACAGCGCAATTATTTTGGTGGCACTCAGAACTAAATACCATAAACAACGGCACAAGTTTATCTGAAGTTTTGCAAAAGCTCTTTTCGATATCATCAAACAACAACATACAGGTATATCACTATACTATTACTTTATAAAAGATTCTTTTATAAAGTTTTGCTGGCTTGAACAAAATTGAAAAATGTGTAATTGGAATTGGAGCAACAATATACACACATATTTGTTTTCTTTAGGGAAAACGAACAAATATAACTTTGAACTACATGTCAGAACAAATATAGTATTCAACTTTCCTTTTTCACATAGTTGAACACAGAAGATGTAAAGTTGGAATAAATATATCCTTGAACCATATATGAGAACACACACACACATATATGTATATATAGGGAAGAGTTCAAATAAAAAGACCTCTGGGAAAACAGTCAAATAGGTCCCCGAACTTTCATAAAAAGGTCAATTAAGTCCTTCTATAGGAGGTTCTGTCCGGCCTTCGCGATTTGGGGCAGTTCCCGGTGGAATTTTTTGATGAATTTTTTTGAGCATCTTATTCACCAATGCTAGTTTACTCATACCAAATTTCAGCTAAAAATTCAATCGGGAACACATTCAAATTAATTCTTGAAAATAACTGCGCATTTTTGCGTTCTCGAATTAATTTGAATGCGCTCCCGATTGAATTTTTAGCTGAAATTTGGTATGAGTAAACTAGACTTGATGAATAAGATGCTCAAAAAATGTCATCAAAAAATTCCACCGGGAACCGCCCCAAATCGCGAAGACCGAACAGAGTCTCCTATAGAAGGACTTAATTGACATTTTTATGAAAGTTCGAGGACCTATTTGACAGTTTTCCCAAAGACCTCTTCACGTGCAAAGTGCGAAGATATGCACTTTTGCATGTTTCGCTTGCACTTTTTCGTGTTTCTGTTGCACTTTTTCGCAATGGCGAAAAAGTGAAACATATTTACGAAATTGTCACCGCGAATTTGGTCGAATTTTGTGCATTTTGAGCTCATTTTGAGCCATTAGATGTGGAAATGAATGCTCAAGATTCATTCTTACTTTGCATGGGAAGAGGTCTTTGTATTTGAACCATCTCCTATATATATCAGTTAACTATATACGTAGTATTTGTCTATTAGAGAACATGTTATCCTCAACTATTAGGATATATAAGGGTATAAAGGTTCTATCTACATTTTTTTTAATTAAATCTTTCCAAGTGGAAGTTGATGGGTATATTTGGTCTTCAACATATTGATCAAAGGGTATAGGAAGTATCAACCCTTTTTGTGACAATTCAATGAGAAATGATAGCAAAAGAAACAGTGACATAAGAAAAACATATTTTATTTTAAATATAACAATACGAATAATTGTTTGCAGTAATGTGTTGTTTCCTTTCCTCACAATTCATTGGTTTCCTTTTATTATTATTTAATGCAGGGTTTTGGAATGAAAGTTTCTAAACTACTTAAACCAGAGGTAGACAATGGTAACTTTTCACTATTTAAGGCTTCATGAGGCCTTAAATAATGTAAAGAAATGTGTAACTTTTTAGAAATGTGCTAAAGATTTACTGATTAGCAGATATATTTGTTTGTTTAGTAGGCTAATATTTAGGGTTATCTGTTTTTTTTTTTTTTTAATTTATGCATCTTGAATTTTATCATTATTTACGGAGTATTTTATGATAAATAATGAGTAGCGGATACATTATTATCATAACAATATTTGTTTTACGGGCTGTTTGTTTTTCAGCGGATTCATGCCAACCCGCTGCTAAAAGCAGCGGTTTGTAGTTCAAAAAGAACAGCGGATTGCTCAATCCGCCGTTATACAAACGGGGCCAGGATACATTCACACTCTTCATTTATTCTTGCATTACCATCCGTTTTTGGAAAGTTTAGTAAAACTTATTTGGTAAGTTTAGTAAAATAATACGGAGTAATATTTTGTAACAGTTAATTAATATGATAGCCTAGTTAAAATTGGTAAGGAAATAATATAATTACTTCAAACTTTGTAAGAGTGTGAGTGTGTGACAAATATCTCAAACTTACATATGCAATATTATATCCTCAACTCTATTTCTTTTTTTGGAAAAAACAAACACATCATATTAAAGAATCATACCGTTACAGTAAAAACGGAGTAATATTTTGTGACAGTTAATTAATATGCTAGCCTAGTTAAAACTTAAAATTAGTAAGGAAATAATGTAAATACTTCAAACTTTGTAAGAGTGTGTGACACAAATATCCCAAACTTACATATGCAATATTATATCCTCAACTCTATTTCTTTTCTTGGAAAAAACAAACACATCATATTAAAGAATCATACCATTACATTCAACAAAAAAAAATCATACCATTACAGTTAAAAAAAAGAATCATACCGTTTGTCCAATGGCGTACAATGAAATCAGGCATATGGTCAAAATAGCATCTATGATCTGAGAGTGACATGTTCGCTCTTGCAATTAGGGGTGGCTCGGCTCGACATTATTGGGACCCGACTCGAACCGGTCAATCAAGACCGGGCCAGAGGCCTGAACCGGGTGCATTTTGAGGTGGGCTAGGGGCTTAGAAATAGGTAGGCGTGGACCCGGTTCGGGCCGCCCGGCCCGGGACCGGCCCGGCCCGTCACTGTGCGGGCCCGGAACCGGCCCGGTTCTCGGGTCCGGGTCCGGTTCGGGCAGAGACCCGGTCGGGTTAGCGGGACCGGGCTCGGGTCCTGGTTTTGGAGGCCCGGCCCGGCCGGGTCGGGCCCGGGCCCGGGCCTAACGGTCCACTTTTAAAAAAAAAAAATTTTTTTTTTTTTGGATTGTTTTGGCTCAAACGGCTACCCCAAACGGCTATATAGCCGTTGGGTGTACCAGGGGGGGTCAGGGGGGTTTGGGTGGGGGGTGGGGTGGGGGTTGGGGTGGGGGGTGGGGGTTAAAAAAAAAACCTATAAATACTCCTAATTTTAAACATTTTTTCACACCTCTTCTCCAACTCTTCTAAATCCTACTCTCTACTCATCTCCATTCTCCAATTCTCCATATTCATCTTCTCTAATTCTCTTATTCTCCTTTATATTTTATTTTACTATTTAATACTTATACAATTATTATATCTACTTATATATTAATTATCTACTTATATATATTATTATCTACATATACTATATTGCTTATATTTCTTATCTACTTAATTTCTACTTATATCTCTTAATACATACATACATACTATATCTACTTAATATATACTTTATATAATAAAGTATTAAATATACTTTATAAACTATTATTATATACTTAATACATAATAATATCTACTTCTCTACTTATATTTTATATATACTTATTTTCCAATCTCCAATTCTCCATTATACTCTAATATTTAATTCTTATACAATTATTATATCCACTTAATACATACATTCTACATCTACTTAATATATATTTATATATTAAAGTATAAAATATAAGTGTATTACTCATCGTATAGTATAGTATACTTATATATTATATATTATAAACATTATATTATATATTACTTACTATAACTAGTATTATACTAGTTAATTAGTTAATTAGCATTCTTGTTACATTTTTCATTATACTAGTTAATTAGTTCATTACCATTATTGTAACATTTTTCATTATACTAGTTAATTACTTAATTAGCATTCTTGTTACATTTTTCATTATACTAATTAAAATACTTCACATTTTATTTAACTAGTTGTTAGTTTGTTACATTTGTCACTATACTAGTTAACTACTTAATTAGCATTGTTGTTACATTTTTACTTGTACTAGTTATTTACTTCAAAAGTTGCTATAATTTTAATTGTAGAGACACACATTAATTCTACTTTGCAAAAAATTAGTTTGAAGTATTAATTAAAATAGTTTTAATTAGTTGCATTAGTTTGGTATCCATTATTATATTTGTTGTGAATTAATATTTGTTACATTTTTTAGATGGAAGGTGGTAGATATTCGGTTGATTTGGGTAACCTCCAACGCAATCGAAGAAACGAGATTGGGAGGAAGAAATCCCGCAAAGGTAAAGAACTTGCCGGGTCTTCATCTCAAAGTCGAGATGATTTTGAAACGGGTTACCAAAGGCGAGATGGAGATGCGATGTCCGAAGAACAACTCCAACAAGAATTGGCCCGACATAATAACCGCTTTCTACAACAACAACAAATGCCGACGACCATTGACGAAGAGGAGCTTGAGGATGAAGATGCGGAGGAATTGGAACCGGAGACGGCCGAGGAGGAGGGTGCCGGCAGCCACGACGCCGACGCGCCTGCCTCATCCCAAACCGCCACCGGTAATAAAAAAAGTAAGTCTGAACTAATGAAAAATAATTTTGATAAATGGAAGGACCCACAAACCGGCTATTGGCACGCAACTTGCAAGTGGTGCAACAACAATTATAGTTTGGGAACCTCCGGCGGATACGGATCCGCCGCAAGGCATCTTAAGGCAAAGCACCCCGTGGAGTATGCAAAATTAGGCGGCGGAACGGGGAAGCAAACTCAAATATCGAGGTTTGCGAATTCTCAACCTTTTGGTAATTTCGCCTACAATGATGCACAAAATTTGACTGGTATGGCTAACTTAATTTGTGAAGAAAATTTGCCTTATTTGTTTTCTGAAAGTCTTGCTTTAAAAGATTATGCACAAGGTAGTTTAAATCCTCAATTTAGAAATTATAGTCGCAAAACTGTTAAGAAAGAAATAATAAGGCTTTATAATGCGGAAAAGGAAAGGTTACAAAATTTTTTTGCAAACTTTGATGGGCGTGTTACTATTTGTTCTGACATATGGGAGGATGATTTTCATCATTTATATTATTTGGGTCTGACTGCACATTATATTGATGAGGATTGGAATATGCATAAACGTGTTCTTGCTTTTCGTGAATTTAATGATCGTCACACCGCTGAACATATTTATATTTTGATTGAGCGTATTTTAATTGAGTATAATTTGATTGATAAGGTGTTTGCTATTGGTTTCGATAATGCTACTAATAATACTGCTGCTATACCTAGATTGCGTGAGTTGTGTGGTGCCAATTCTTTGATGGGTAGATTTTTTCATCAACGGTGTGCATGTCATGTTATAAATTTATGTGTGCAAGACGGTTTAAAAGCGTTAGGAGATTCCATGGAGGTAATAAAGGGGGGGGTTAGACGTATTTGGGGTAATGGTCAACTTAGATTAAAATGGCAAAGTTATTTGACTGAAAGAGGTGTGAGATATGTTGCTTTTCCTAAAGATTTGAGTATTCGTTGGAATAGTACTTATAAATTACTTAAAGTTGTTCTTAGATATAAAGAACATTTTCCTGCTTTTTTAAAAGAACATGATAACTATATTATAAACGCGGCTGAGATCGACACTTGCGAAAAAATTTGTAATGTTTTGATATATTTTTTTAATGCTACTGAAACTTTTAGTCATGTTTATAAACCTACCGCAAACCAATTTATTCCACAAGCTGTTAATCTCGCCGATGCTTTTAAAGAATTTCAAAATGCCGTTTTCGTTCATTATTTTTGTGATCATATGAAGGAAAAGTTTTTAAAATATTATGCGCATATTCCCCATATTTATGGTATTGCATTTATTCTCGATCCTCGTTATAGACTTGCTAATTTGGAAGATTGTTTCAACTTCTATTATCTTGCGTTTTTCGGTGAATTTCCAATGTATGAGGATAACCCCATAGATCCGAAAACGGAATACAACGAGGTTAGTACTTTATTTTATGCCTTATTTAATGAGTTTCGTGCACAATATAGCAACGCTCCCCCTCCCCCGTCACGAACATCTTCATCTAAAGGAAAATCGATTTTTAAATCTGCATTTGGCAATCTTATGAAAAAAAGTAAAACAACTCACGTCACTGAACAAAGCGCATTGAATGAGATTACTTTGTATTTAACATATGAAGTTGATTTTGAAGAAAATGATGACTTTGACGTTCTAGACTGGTGGAAGTCAAAAGAAAGAACGTTCCCGATTTTAGCACGGATGGCTAAGCAAGTACTATCAATGCCGGTTTCAACAGTTGCGGTGGAACAAGAATTTAGTTCGGCCGGCAACGTCCTAACGGCATCTAGATCGAGATTGAGCGCGGAGTCTCTTGAGACGCTTATATGCTACCACGATTGGTTGAAGGCCGCACGTAGAACTCAAGAATTGAGCATCACCCCCTCCCAAGATTTTATGGATGACTCAACAACCGATGGTGGCTCTACCTATGCCGGAGATTCCGATTGATTAGTATTTTAGAATTTAGTACAAAATGTATTTTATAGCACTTGTCAAATTTATTTATACTTGTACTTCATATTTCAAAATTGTAAACTTGTACTTCATATTTCAAAATTGTAAATTTGTAGTTGTAGTTCAAATTAATTTGTAAACTTGTACTTCATATTTCAAATAAATATGTGTTCACTTTTTCATATGTAGCACTTCTCAAATTAATTAATTGGTTACAATCTAACGACTTAAAATTATTTTTCTAAAATATAAAGCCGGTTTTTAAATTAAAAATACATTTAGAATATGTAATTTGTTTAAATACTTATACACCTATTTTGTAACATTTGTTTTAGTTTTACTTAATTCATTAAATTAATTAATTTATTTTACAATATGTGTATAACTTAAAAAAAAAAAAAAAAAAAAAAATTTCAAAGCTCCCAAACGGCTATATAGCCGTTGGGGCTATGGGTGGGGGGCAGGGGGGTCCCGGGGGTGGTGGTGTGGGGAGTGGGGTTCAAAAACACCTATAAATACATCTATTTTCTAACATTTTTCTACACCTTCTCTCCAATTCTTCTCAAACTCTTCTCCATCTTTATCTTCTCTTATTATCCTACATTCCTACTTAATTACTTATAGTGTTATACATATACCATTTTAAATATGGAAAGTACATCTTCTCTTATGCAAAACAATTTTGACAAGTGGAAGGACCCGAAGACCGGACTGTGGTGGGCAACTTGCAGGTGGTGCAAGAAAGAGTGTTGCTTGGGGGGTTCATACGGATACGGGATGCCAATAAAACATATGAAGTCTTGTGACAAAGGGAAAACAACCAACGGTGGCGGAAATCCCAATTGATATTCATTACAAAATGTATTTCGTATTGTTATTTTTTTCTCAATTCTCAAATGTAGTTCTTATTTCAAATAAATGCACTTGAACTTTGTTTTTAATAGCAATTTGTATAATATATAATTAATATAAAAAAAAAAAAAATTTATTGACCCGGCCCGGCCCGGCCCGGCGGGTGGCCCGACCCGTGACCCGGGCGGGTGACCCGGCCCGAACCGGAACCGGTCATTGACCGGGCCGGTCCCGGGCCTACCCTTATAGGACCCGAGGCCCGACCGGGCCTTGACCCGGCCCGGGCCCGACCCGGCCCGGGTCCATGCCTGGAAATAGGTGGACCTGGCTGGCCGGGCCCGATCCGGGCCCAAATTATTTTTTATTAACCTTTTCGGGTTGGGTTGTTTTAGGTGGGTGGGGGATGGGTGGTGGTTTGGAAGGTTTTGGGTAGGGTGGTTTGAAATAATTCTAAATGACAAAACAAAAAGAAATTAATTTTGCCCGGCCCAATCTGTACCAGGTTTGAATATGTAAGACCCGGAGTCCCCCGACCAAGAGCTTGGCCCTGCTCAGGCTTTGTCCACACCTACTTGCAATAAATGAGCTACACGATTCACAAATCTTTTACAAAAAAAAATACTAAAATTACTCTTTGTTTTAATAAGACGCTAACCTTTTTTTAGGTGCAAACAATGTTCTAGAAGTCGGTAGGCTTTAGTCGGGCGGCAAAGCACCGCCTAGCGCCTAGATAATACTCCTTTTTTATTTTATCCCCTGGAATTGTTATAGCAAAGAAGGGAGTAAATGATAAAATAAGTGATGGGACATCCTCTCTGCCATGAACACAATAATGGAGGAGGCCAGAGCCATGAATTTGCTTCCCCTGGACCTCGAGCAAGCATTAATGGCGGACGGCGACTGGCACGGTGGCGGAGCAACCAAGACTAAAGCGGCAAGCACTCTGAAAGAGGTGGCAGAGCTCGTATTTGGGTCATTCATTGTCCAGCCATCTCAACTTCTCTGCGAGGCAGCTCAATTGGGGCAGACCTGGGTTGCTTCGCCAATTTGTGGAGACCATCGATCTCTTCCAGTAGGGAATTTCACATCCAGATCCAGAAAATCTAGTACCTTTTTTCTAGAATTTCAATCTCAGTTTGCTTGAATTTTATGTACTCCGTTGATTTGGCAGAGTAGGCGCTTGGTGCAGCCGATTAGTCGATTTGTGTGGTCGATTAGTCGGTGTCCGATTAATAAGACAGATTATATGGTTTTCGCCTCAGTGAGCTAGCGCCCAACGACTAGGCGGCGCCTAGGCGCCCGCCTAGTCCGATTTTTAGATCATTGGGTGCAAATAACATTAAATTGGATACCTAATTGACATTCTAGTCACTCACTAATATAAGGAACAAACGGAGGTAACTTAATTGACGGTAACAGCGAAATTTAGGTTGATATCATTGCTTGGAGGCTATTAATGATCATGAGGCAATTGACACCGATAACTAAATTAGACATCGATTTAAAATGAAGTAATTTTATATTCATATTCATAATATAATTAGAGTATAACTTTATTTATATTCTTTACTGCCTGATAGGTTATACCAATTAGCACTTTATATGACAATGAATTGGAGTAACGGTGAGTTTGCTAAATTTTATGAGCTTAAATAGGTGTGGGAAAACGGGTACAAGAACATGTCGAGTCGGGTAATATATACATGTTTGAATTGGTTTTTTAAAAAATTAGGAATCTTGAACGGGTCTTAAAACATTTAGAAATCGAACGTATCTTAAAATTTGAAATACGTAGTATTAAGTATCCAGGCCAAATCATTTTAAAAATTAAGTATTATTTTAATAAACTTTTTTGTATTTAACACACACACACTAGTATAATATACTACAACACACGAAAGTTGTTAATGTTACTTGTGTCTAGACAAAGACTCTCAATTGAACAAACTTGGGATTCTATTAAAAAGAGTTTCAAAGTCCATATAAACTCCTAAACTATTATCTCCAACTCTCTATTCCTTCTTTATTTGATTTTGTTTTTGTAAATAAAGACTATCATATTCAATGAAATGTGACATATTCATTTAATTGTTCTATTAGACATATATGCAATATAACTATCTAGTTTAATTTCGTACGACTTTATACATGGGTGCTAATTTTTTAGTTTATGGATCATAATGATGTCTAATATTCTACACTTTAAAATTTGGTGTTATTTAATTTATGTGGTTGTGTGCTACTCATTGTACAAAATTGTGGTTAGATATTTTGGTATCTTATTTAAAAATTTGTTTTATATTTGTATTTTGAGGTTTTAGTGGTGACATTGACACTTAATTAGCTTGAGATGCTTGAGATTGTTATTTTTTTTGGCAAGGAGCTTGAGATTGTTATTATTCACTTAAGACTTTGCTAGCGTAACTGTACTTTTAAACAAAAAATTGAACCGAAATTTGTTATACCGAACCGCACCAACTCGTAAAATGGAACCAACGATTCATGAAAATTTATCAATTATCCGGACCACTCCAGACTACGCTCACCCTCAAATTGCATGATAAATAGAGTTCCATGGCTCGAGAAACCATTTCACTAGACACATGCTGCTCTACGGTATTACGTTTCTAGCTTTAGGGCTTGAACCAAGCATTCCCATAATCTTAAGGATTTAAAAATATATATGCAAATTTTAAAAATAAGGAGATGTAACATGAGGAAACAAATTCCAGTTCTAGTATCATAAATAATATAAGGAGCCCCGTTTTAACGTGTTTAATGTCTTCCATTAGTGGGTGGCAAGAATGCCTATTATGTAATGAATTTAATGTTACTTGCACCTTATAAAAGGTCCTGTTTGCACTTTTACTACTACCATAGTGGGTGATTTGCCCCTTTTCCCAATTAAGATACAAGCTTCCTTTCCTTTTTTTTTTTTAATTCCTGTGTATCACTGTGAGGGAATTTGATTCGAGCTCAACCTGTTCCCATCCTTCCTTTTGTGCTCCTAGAGTAGCCTCCTGTATTCCAACTGCTTCAATTCCAATTGCTTCATCTTCATCTGGGGACAAGTTCGCCTGACATGACTCGTTGCAGGCTTTGATAAATTCAACCTGATCGTTTATTGCAATCCAACTCCATGCTCTAATATCGTTGGCGTCATTATTGGTTGCATCAACATTTATTTTGATATAAAACCCTTTCTCGGCTTCATTCGTTTTCCCATGCCATGCCCTCTAGTTGAGTGCTTTTCCACAATGTTTTTTTTTCATCTCTCCAACTTCTCAACATACAAGTTGTTGTATTAATTACAGCTGAGGTCCCCTGCAATTCATCCTTTGAAACATGGTTATTACGACGCTTCCATAAGCTCCATAGAAGTGTAATAAAATTGCAGCAGTCATCCTTCATAGGCACCTCAAGTGTAACTGTTAACCACTCCTTGAAGGTCTGTGTTGTCCTTTTAAAACTCCTCCCTGCAGTTGTTCAAACTTCCTTGAGAAGATGTTCAAACTTCCTTGACCTTCTCGCACAAACGCAAGGCATGTTCCACTGTCTCCTCCTCCAGATCGCAAATACAACAAGTCATTTGGACTAGCACTCCTCTCTTATAAAGATTTACTAACAAGGGTAGAGAGCCATCAAAAAACTACCAAATAAAATACTCCTCCTTTGGAAGGACTTGAAGCTCCCACATGTGTGACCAACCTCCCCAGACCCCCGCTTCAGACCACCCCGTCAACACCTTATAATAACTCTTTATAGAAAATAACCCATTTGACTCTCCCATCCACTAATACCCATCTTCTCTACCCCTCCTCAAACTTATGGGAATGCTTAAAATCTTTTTTGCTATCCTCCGCATTAAAAATAGAAAACACTCTCCCCCTATTTCAATGTTTGTCTATCTCATCTCATAAAGTCGCTACATTCATATTCATGATACCTGTCGGTTTTTCTGATTGGACGCGACCAGTTCCCGACCCCGGTAACCAAACATCCGCCAAAACATGAATATTCACACCATTCCCAACTGCCTTATAATATTATTCTTCAACACATTATGAGATTCCAAAATACTACGCCATATAAAAGAAGAATTGTTTCCCTACTGGGTGTCTAATAAACCTGTGTTTGGAAAGTACCGAGCTTTAAACACTCGACACATATGTTGGTCCCAGTTTTCTGTAGACTAACACACAGCTAGATGGATTTCATCAATAAACATAGAAGAAAGATTTCACAGAATGATCTTAAGAGATATCGAGAACAGAGAAACCTTCTTTCTATTTATCGAGAAGAATTTTACAGAGTGATGCTACGGAATAGAATGATCGACCTCTAGACCTGTACACCAACGCACATATTTTATAGGCGTAGTGCAGGTTCCTAAAGTGGTAACCTAGGAGTTTGGGCCTAAACCCTTTTTGGGCCTTATTCCCTTACAACCTAATTATTACATATTTATTGATACCATAAATGGTAAACTATACTAATTAAAAGAAGACATAAAGACAAACTTGATTCACAATTAAAATAGTTCTAACAATCTCCCCCTTTGTGATCAATTGTCGTCTTGCTTGGGTATCTCTTGTTTCTGAGCTCTGTAATAGTGCTTGCGAAGATTCAGCGCGTGCTCGTAGTTTTTGAGTGACCTTCTTCTGTCAAGCTGCTTCTCGATTGCTTTCAACACTTTGTCGATTCTGTTTGACTCTGTTAGTTCGGCATCCGTTGCATCTGCATACTTCTGTTGCCTTTCTTCAAATTCTTTTCTGATTGGTTGTAATTTTTGTTTCACGGTCTTCCGTGTCCCATCACAGTACTTATTGAGCTCATCAATAAACATCATACGCTTCTCACCATTGTGGTTCAAATAGATGAGTGTGACCGGGCTGTCAAAGATGTAATATGTAGGATAATCTTCAAGCTCTGGTCCGTACATCTTTGGTCTTGAGAGATCTGTCTTTGGCAGATTGGTTTCTAGAGCCATTTGAAGATCATGGGAGGCAAAGAATTTGATCTGTCTGATCATGAAGCGCTTGAGTGCATCGAAGCCATCTTGTGTAGATCTGTCGCGAACAACGGGAAGTTCTTGGAATGCTAGATACATCTGATAGATGTCATCCATTTTGAGCATATATAGATCGTTTTCCTTGCAGGTAAATTTTGTCCCATCAGAGAGCTGTTGGTGGTAAACAGAGAGTGTGATATCTTGGTGATTCTCTTCAGCTACATTGAGTATATCACCATCAGATCAAATGTGTACAGGTGGGACCTGGAAAACATCTAAGTGTAAACCACAAGAACTAGTTTCTCAAGGTTTGAACATCGAGAAGTGAGTTCTCGAGTTTTAAACATCGAGAAGCTCTTCTCGATATTCAAACATCGAGAACTTGGTTCTCGAGGTTTAAATGCCGAGAAGTCCTTCTCCAGGTTTAAACATCGAGAACCACTTTCTCGAGGTTTAAATATCGAGAAGCTCTTCTCGGTATTTCAACTTCGAGATGCAGGTTCTCGATATCTAAACATCGAAAAGCCTTTTCGAGGTTTAAATATCAAGAACCGGGTCTCAAATTTGAAATATCGAGAAGTTCAATCTCGAAATTTAAACTTCGAGAAACTGGGTTTCACAAGTTCGCATTTAGAGTTGAGTCGAGAACCACCTGCAAATACACATTATACATAATGACAACAATCAAATTAAAACTTTTTGAGTCCCAAGTTCACAGTTCGAGAAAAAATTAGTTCTCGATAATCCAATTCGAGAAATTTTTCCCATGTTTGAAATCGAGAACCTTTCCATTGTGTGCGAAAACCATTTTGAAGTCATTATTGATGATTGAGAACCACTTATTCTACCTTTTGAGCGTTTTTTAGAACGATTTAGAGAAGGATGGAGTGTTTATCGAGAAGAGAAAGCTCTAGACTTCGAGAAGTATGGATGCGAGAAAGTGAGGAAACGTAAGAGAGCCTTTCTCGAAGTCTGCTTTTATATGCGAAAACGTTGGTTGGGCCTTGCGAGAAAGATTCCGGGCCCAAGAGATTGTATTGGGCCCAGTTCTGTTTTAAAACGGTTTTGGGGCCCAACTTGTATTTATGAACAGATTCTCTCCATAGATAAAACTCCCCCTAAAATGATGCATGAAAAAAACTAAAAACACACACACTCTTTTTCTTTCTTTTTCTGATTTTTCACACACTTTTTTTCATGTATTTTCTCATTTTCACACACACACACACACACACTTTTTCATGTATTTTCTCATTTTCACACTTCTTCCACTCTCACTCTTTCTTTTATTTTCTTCTTTTCTCCCTCTTTCTCTTTTATTTTCTACACTTACTCCCCCTCAACACATGCTTTTTATTTTATTCTCTATTCTCTCCCCAGTCTCTTTTCTTATCACTTACTCCCTCTCTATTCTCTTTTATGGACTGGGAACTGATGACCGCTTTCGCGGCGTTGTAGTAAAACGGAGTCTAACCTTTCGGTTTTTCCCCGAGTGTCGTGTCTCTTGAGGAATGGCGGAGAAGTTTCTTAATTTAATTTTAGTCACGGGCTATCGCTAATTGTTGGAAGCTTTTTCAATATAGGAAAGTGATTTTGTTCTATATTACGCTAAATTATAACTAGGAGCAAGGTGCAATTTAAAGATTAATGTATAAATATTGAATATTCAAGGATGCAAATAAGGGCAATGAATTGAGTAATTAGAAATGGATATGTTCTTGGACCTCTTAATTAGGGAAATTAAAACTAAAATTGGACTAATAATTTCTTTCCTCATAGACAAGAATAGAAACTATCTTCATTAATTTATCCTATTTCTAGGTGTCATTAATGTGTTTAAAATGGTTGGCTTAAATTATTTTCTAAACCCATAGACAAGGTAGAAATAATTTTTCAATATTTTAATTAATAAAAATAGCCAAATTCATTAACTAGTTAAACTCTTTATTTTAGCAATTGAATTTATTTCTCATAGACAAGATGTAAATCCTTTTCATTAAATTACCCTATTTCTAGGCCTTATTAATGTGCTCAATTATGGTTGGCTTAAATTAATTTCTAATCTCATAGACAAGTTAGAATTAATTTTCCAAGAATTTAATTAATGAAAATGGCTAACTATTATTAATTACTATTTCATCATTTCAAACAACTAGTCCAAATTATTAATTTTAACCCTTAATTTTAGGTCAACAAGTCAATCCATATTCCTTTTCTCAATTCATGCCCTAACAAATTTAGCTACTCATCACCATTTTTGCAATTAACAATATAATGATTAAATTCAACATTAACAAGGAATTAAACATGTATGATAGCAAAAATTAAACAAAAATTATATTATGGAACAATAAACTTGTAGGAACTAAAATATAACTTTCTGGAATTTTTCACCAATTTTTGAACCTAAAATCCAATTTTTGACAACTAATTGATAATTTTCCCAATTTTAACTAGAAAATGCAAAAAGCAACTAAAAATATGCTAACTTCGTTATAAATTTTATTTTAGCTACTGGGAGTGATATTACTATGAATCAAACTGAAATTAAGGCCGAACTAATTTTTTTCCTTTTTTTAGTATTTATTTTGACTTAAGCAATAATATAACGTTGTTACCGAAATTAATAAAAATACTCTAAATTCGTACCAAATTTTATATTAACTACTAGTAATGATATTTAAGTTAACTAAACTGTAAATAGGGCCGAACTCATTTTTTTCCTATTTTTCTAGTATTTATTCTAAATTATGAACTAATCTCAAATAATTACCAAAATTAATAAAAAATTACTTATGCTTCGTGAAAAAATAATTTCTTCAGATAAATAACTACCTTGAGGCTAGTGAACAACTATATAATTAATTGGAATGAATTCAACAACAATAACTATTTTATTTAATTTTTTGAAGTAAATGCGAAATACTTGAAAAATAATCTGGAAATTTTCGAAGAACAGATTGAACAAACAAAGTGCAGATTCAGATTCTACTCGTTGAGAAGATGAAAATACATATAAAGAACTTACAATTTGGAGCTAAAATGAAGAAGATATGAAGATTTGAAGTTTCTCTCTCTCTAAGACCTTTGGAGCTCGAAAATGGAGGAAGAAAGAAGGTGTTTTGAACTGATTTAGGGTTGGAAGAGGTGTGTTTGAGTTGAGGAAAAATCGGGCAATTTATAGCAGAAGTTTCCCCGAAGGCGCCCAAGCAGGCGGCCGCCTTCCGTCGGCATCTGGCCGTCTGCCGTCTTCTCGCCGGCAATTCATCGTGGGCCGGTCCCGTCAGCCGTAGGCGGCCACAGAGGGCGGCCGCCTTCCGTCACACCTTGGCCGCCTGCCGTCTTTTCATGGTTAAATCGGATCGCGGCGGATCCCGGCGGATCCCGGCCGCCGCAGGCGGTCCAGCAGGCGGCCGCCTGCCGTTCCTGTCTGGCCGCCTGCCGTCAAATCCCACCGGCCGGCGGTTGCTTCGTCGTCTTCTGCCGCAGGCGGTCACCGTAGGCGGCCGCCTTCCGTCCAGTGTCGGCGGCCTACGGTCTTTTCCGAATCCGGTCAAAGTCAAAGTTTGACTTTCCAAAAATTCCGTAGGCGGCCGCGAAGGCCTTCATTTTGGCCGCCTGCCTGGCCGCCTGTGAGATTATTTGTCCGGCTTGTTCCTTATTTTGTGCTCTTCAATATTGTCTTCTGGACCACTTTGAAATAATGTCTCCTTTCGGTATGATATCATTTGTTGCTCAAATTGGCTCATTTTGTGCTCAATCGACCCGAAATTCCGACAAACATACGATGAATGTGGTTTTCACCTGATTTCATGAAACTTGAACCAAAATATCTAAAACATGCCTTTTCTTTCTATTTTCAATCAAAAATCGCTTAAATTTGATAAGAAAAATAAGTACAAAAATGGACTTATCAATCTCCTCACACTTAAGCGTTGCTTGTCCTCAAGCGACGAATTAGTTGGAAACACACTCAAAAAGGGAAAACATGACTATATCACAATCGAATTGCTATTAAAGAAGTAGAAACAAAAACCTCTCTTTTATTCTCAATTTTTTTTTTATTTTAGAAAAATCACCCAAGATATATGAATTTACTATTATTATTACTAAAGAAAACTATTGATTATGTTAAACCACCGATCAATTCCTTATCCCAAGGTTTTCATTATTCTAATTTGGACATTCATCTTGTTCACCATTTTTTTTTTTTTTTTTTTTTGCTCTTTTTCACTCTTGTTGGCGGTGTTATCCCATGGTAAATGCATATTTCATTCTCACAGACTGTGATTAACGAATGAAACAGAGCCCCTTTTCGGAGATGGAATTGTCCTATAACAATGAGTTTTGAAGAGGTTTATTAATAGTAACATTTTTTTTTTTTTATGAAAAAAATGAATGTCCAATTAAAACAAATTCAGACCTTTACATTCGCAACCAAAAACCCATAACAATTTTAAGTTTTCAAAAATAATAATAATAGTAAATTCTTATAATAAGGGTGATTTTCTAAACTATTTTGTGAATTGATAACAAATTGAGAAATTAATGTTTCATATCAAAAATAGTAAAAAGATTGTTCTAAAACAAGGTTTTGACTTTTGAGTGTAAAACGCAACCTCCTCACACTTGAGCTGGACCTCGCCCTCGAGGTCTTCTTTTGAGGCACAAAATTGGGAAATAAAGGCACATTTTTTTTTTTTTTTTTTGGTTCTTTCCTCACACTTGAGTTTTGAAAAGATTTTGTGAAGAGGAATAATGAAACAGGAGTAAAATGGTTTTTTAAAATCCTTACATCATCCATAGTCAGTTTGTAAGAGCATTCAAGTCAAAAGAGCAGCGCAATGTCCAACCTGAAGAACAAACAAACATGATAAAAATGTTAAGGAAGAAGCAAATCTAAACATCGCCTGCGCCATCCTGGGGGCCATAGTGTGGCCTAAGCCAATCTCTCATCTCATCAATATCTAGCCTCTGGGTCTCTAGCTCCGCCTGCATATCCCGGGTGGCTCTCTCCTGAGCTAATCGAAAGTCTCTGAACTCTCCCAGGGCCGTCTCATGCGCATCTCGCATCTCCTGGAATCCTCTGTCCTGTGCAACCCGCATCTCTGAGACTGAGGTTTGTAGACTCCTCATCCCATCCATCATCGCTCTCCAATCTGCGGCGCTAGGCATGTATGAAAAGGGCTCGCTAGATCCCTCATGTCCTGAGGGTCGAGAAGAACTACTCTGCTGGGTCGGCTGCTCAATACCTGGGAGCTCCTGAGTGTTCCGCTTCTTCTTGATCCTCATGTTGGTAAAGGATGAGGATCGAAGAACGCGGATGCTATCCTGTAAGTGCACTAGTCCTGGAATGTCTAGATCTGGGTAGAATGATCTAACAAGAGTAGTGATGAAAGGCCCTGCCTGGATAGTGCGCCGCACAGTCTTCCCCTGGCTCCGGAAGAAACGAGCCATAAGGACAGCCATATTCACCGGGATGCGGTGAATCAAACTCCAAAAGAATAGTATGTCCTTTTTGGACAACCTGTTTGTGTTGTTAGGTCGTCCAAAAAAACCACAAGAAAGTACGAACGAGAGTATGTACCAGTGAGTCTCCCTCCATTTGTTCGAATGGGGGTGCATCCGGAGAAATGATCTGGTGTCTGTGGAGTGTCTGTGCCAGAACTCATCAATGTCAAATGCCTCGGGTAAGCGGGTCGGAAGAGCACGGAACTCCTCAGTCTGTGTGTATGCTGGGGTATAGAGCCCCATCCTCCATCCGAGCTCAGCCACAGTGATGGAGTGCTCCATGCCTAGAATAGTAAACCTCATCCGAGACTCTGACCCAATAACAGCACCCTCCTGCACAGCCTGTCCGTAATGAGTGAACTGAACGGAGCACAGAAACTCCATCGTCAATGGAAGGCTGGCCCTCTCCTGAACGAATAGAATCCTCCGCCATAAAGAGTCTCCTAGCAGGGCATCAATGTCATCCCAGTACCCCCATTCCTCTAGCATCGTCGGGTCCAGGATCATGGGAGGAAGGAGTGTGCGGTATTGCCCCCACGCCTGGAAGCGTCTGCGATCAGCAATAGTAGCAAATGGGATATCAGGCTGAGGTGGTGGGTCCTCCCGTCCTAGTGGTGGCTCCTCGAAAATGGGATCGTCACGTCTTCCTCCAGACATCTGCAAGAAATAAACAAAGTAAAATATTTTTGGGTTAGTTTTTTTTTTTTTTTTTTTTTTTGATTGGGTTGCCTCCCAATGAGCGCTTCTTTAACGTCACTAGCTTGACGAATGTCCTCCCTTGGTTCAAAATTTTTGGAGATAAAGAATCTCCTTGCCTTTTTCAATCGGGCCGCCATGGTAGAGTTTAAGTTGGTGGCCGTTGACTTTAAAGGGACCCCCATTAGCATCTTCAATCTCAACGGTTCCGTAGGGGTAAGCTTTTATGACCTTGAACGGTCCGGACCATCTTGACTTAAGCTTTCCTGGAAAGAGCTTCAACCGGGAGTTGAATAACAGCACTTTATCTCCAGCATTGAAATCACGAGCCTTGATGTGTTGATCATGGTAGAGTTTGGCCCGTTCTTTGTAAAGTTTAGAATTATGAAAAGCTTGCGCTCTCCACTCTTCCAGTTCATTCAGCTGGTAAAATCGTTCCTTCCCTGCAGCATCCAGTTTAAAACAGACATTTTTCATCGCCCAAAGTGCTTTATGCTCGAGTTCGACGGGTAAGTGGCAAGACTTCCCGTATACAAGGCGAAAAGGTGTGGTTCCGATCGGGGTTTTGTAAGCAGTCCGAAATGCCCAAAGAGCGTCGTCAAGTTTAGTTGACCAGTCTTTCCTGGTCTGGGCAACAGTTTTCTCCAGAATGGACTTCAAATCCCTGTTAGCGTTTTCCACTTGTCCCTGAGTCTGGGGGTGGTACGCTACTCCGCTTCGATGTTGGACTCCATATTTGGCCAAAATTCTGGCCATTGGATCATTGTGGAAATGAGTCCCTCTATCGCTGATCAAAACCCTGGGCACACCAAATCTGGTAAAGAGCTTTTTCAGAAAATTCACGACTACTCGAGAGTCGTTGGTGACACAGGCCTGGGCTTCGACCCATTTAGAAACATAATCAATGGCCACAAGAATGTATTTGTTTCCTCTTGAGCTTGGGAAAGGTCCAACAAAGTCGATGCCCCAAACATCAAATACCTCACAAGGTAAGATAAAGTGTTGGGGCATCTCATTGCGCCCAGAAATGTTCCCGATTCGTTGACAGTTATCACAAGAGGAAACAAATACATTAGCATCTTTAAAAATCGTGGGCCAGAAGTACCCACAGTCCAAAACCCGCCTTGCGGTTCTATTCCCTGAGAAGTGGCCCCCAGTAGGACCGCTGTGACAATGCTCCAGAATGTCCCTTGCCTCAGCTTCAGTAACACATCTTCTCACCACCTGGTCAGCACAAATTCGGAATAGATATGGATCATCCCAAAAATAGTGCTTTGCTTCTGATAAGAACCGCCTCTTCATGTGTCTCGTCAGTTCAGTAGGCTCGACTTTACCAACAAGGTAGTTGGCAATGTCGGCATACCACGGTGTTTGTTCCTTGGCGGATATTGCCATCAGTCTCTCAGCAGGAAAAAGTTCCTCAATTTCGCATTTTCCGAAAGTTTCTGCTAACTCGGCATCTAACCTCGAGAGGTGGTCAGCTGCCTGATTAGCAGATCCCTTTCGGTCCCTGATTTCAATATCAAATTCCTGCAACAAAAGAACCCAGCGTAACAGTCTAGGCTTAGCATCATGCTTTTGGAGGAGATATCTAATGGCCGAATGGTCGGTATAGATAATAACCTTCGAAAGAATGATGTAAGTCCTAAACTTCTCTAAAGCACAAACAATAGCAAGGAATTCTTTTTCAGTGGTAGTGTAGTTGAGTTGTGGCCCTGACAGAGTTTTGCTAGCGTAGTAGATTGGGTGGAAGTTCTTGTCCTTCCTTTGACCAAGGATGGCCCCTACTACTAAGTCACTAGCGTCACACATGAGTTCAAAGGGTAAACTCCAATCCGGGGCCACAAGCACAGGAGCATTGATCAGTTGTGTTTTAAGTGCTTGGAAAGCATGGTGACATTCATCAGAGAATATAAAAACCGCATCTTTT